TGTGAAGGCGGCTTGGGCCGAGCGGGTGTGTGTGTGTGTGCGCGTCTGGCTGTGGGGAGGAGAGAGGCGGGGGAGGCAGGCAGGCACTTAAAACATCCACATCACAAAATTAAAATTAATAAAATGGATTTCCTCTGGAATATTCATGCTCCCTCTAATGTTTTTTCCTTGCAGGGGTATGTTACTGGATTTTAAGAGTCCATTACTCAGAAAGCATAAGGCAAGGTTAGGTCTCAGAGGGGTACAAATATGGTCTCAATCTGATAAACGCCATGCAGCAGTGAATAAAATAATGGATACATGAGGGCTGACAGAACAAAAAGAGACGTCTCTATCCGGGAGAAATTCTCCAGTGATTTAGTGGTTTTAGGGATCACCGAGACACTGTTTCTTATCTCCCCCCCCCCCATAAGACTAAAGCCTTCTATAGGATTTAGACACTTTCTCTTTCAACAGATGCTACAATGTTTTGATCCCAGCTCTATAGCTGAGAGGTGCCGCAATTGGTTTGCTATCTTTTTTTGCTTGTTTTCCGCCTCACTGATTAAGACACTAAGAAACTAAGGAATGATTTTATTTCCCAGCGTCTTTTTTTTTTTCTTCCAGGAAACAAATCCTATACCCAGCGTCAGATGGTCTAGCTATAGGATAATAGGGACGGACATTCACTGGCTTTCTTACGGATTAGGTCTGGAAGGTGGAACAGCCCTATTGAGATGGCTTCTTTTAGGGCTTTTAAAAAGGCCCCCTTCTAAAAAGAAGATATCTTAATTGTCTGGCGTGGGGTTTTTAAATAATCATAATCGAGTTTAACTCTATATGAAACTTTTAGCTGGCTAAACAGTGCTAAAAAGCGGCCGTTTGGGGAAAAAAGGAAGCGGCTCAAGACGGGGCTTCCCGAGGTTACAAAAAACCCGTCGCTTTAGAAGTTAAAAAGGCGGAGGGGGGGGATGTTAGGAAAAAAGCCCTTGATTCGAGAGCTTAAGGCGCCCGGGCTGACTCGGGGAAAGAAAGGGCTCGGGAAGCCCGCGCTTCTTTCGGGTCGATCCCTAGTCCCCAGAGACAAGTACCTGAGAGTGATTTAAATGAGTCAGGAGCTCCTGAGCCACCAGACTTAGAAGCAGAGACCAATTCAAGCACTATAAGGCTGAACTGTGCATGCCAACTAAATAATGAATTAAGTTTTTGGGACATGGACTCTTTCAAAAGCCCTGGAGTTTTCCACATACCTTGAGAGAGCCCCATCTGAAGCCAAAATGTTGGATCATCTTATCTTTTCCCTGCTGAATAAAGGAAATCATTTTGCAAAGTGCTTGCAGATGCTCTTATTTAAAAGTATTTCAGGAGACAGCTTGAATCTATTTCGGCGGCATTGTGTCCCGCTGAAAAGCAGCCCCTCGCTATTCAAGTGTTGGTGGTCATCTCAATAGATCCGCGGACGCCCATATGGTGACCACTGTAGATGAATCCAACTGTTTAAATGGGGGAGAAAGTTGGGGTTTTAAAACATTTCAAAGTGCTTGAAAGGATCCTACCAGATTCTGTCACAATTCTCCCGAAGCTTTGAAGACTGGGCCTATTGTTAGCCGATTATAAATGATATTACTTCAAAGTTGATTTCCCACAATATTTAAAGGATGTAACGGGAGTGTTGCTATTTATTTTTAGCCTAACTTTTAAAGCAAATTAGCATAAGTAGCCCATGCGTCCCTTCTTGCCTCTCCCCTTTATGCGACATCAAAACGCCTCGAAAAATGTACTTTGAAAAGAGAGGGAGAGCTAATGTAGGGACAACGACTTTTCTGCCTCAGCAGAAACGTCCATTTTCTGTCGCAAACCGGTTTAGGTGTCTGCGGCTACTTTGAAATCAGACAACCAGACCGAGTCCACATCTTTACGTCCAACAGAAACGAGAACACAATAAAACTTTCCCCTGTTTAATGATAGAAATTACATTAAAAGTGGTGGAAATGCCCTAATTAAAAATGTACCACTTAAATGATATGCCAAGCGTTCAGCTGCAGAATAGCATATTTAGCTAGTTAGTGAACTCGCTACTATTTCTTTTAAAATTACATGTTAAAATTTTAAAAGAAATCTTACTTTTCTCTGGTGCAACACATTACAAAGAATGGACAGTCCTTTTATCTAAATATAAAATTCCATTTTCAGCAATTATAGCCTGTTCTTGGTGATGATATAATTACAGCTGTGCTCAGTAATAGGTGTCAAGGCAATGCACACTCATACAATAGTTGAATAAAACTGCAGAACAATGCAGGCACTTCTAAATTCACAACCTTTAAAATGAAATTGACTGTGCAGAATTCAAATAAAAACTGGATAAATATTTTTTAAAAAAGATTACAAGCTTGGTTTGGTTTCTTAATAGCATTTTCTGCAAACCTATCAACATCTAATTGATTAGATAGGAATTACTGATTATAGATAATCTGAAATACTGAACATCACTATTTTAAATATAGCAAAAGGTAAATAAATTCGGCAGCCAGAGGAGACTGCCATGGCACTTTAGCACCGACCCATATAAAGAATCACTTTCAGAGGAAAGTATTTTTATGCAGGTTTTATTTTAGAGGGAAAATAAAATGAAATTAAGACCATACGATTGTAATTCTTCATCTCTCATGTTTACAATAACACTGGCACACAAAATGTTTCTGTGTTACCTATGTCGTTAGTGCAATATTACTTTGATAACTGATACCTTTTTAAAAAAGGGCGGCAGGAAACATGGCCGAACTTGTTTCCACTTGCATTATTTCTTCGATAGGAATCTTAAAATACGGGTACCTGCATTTCAGTTTCCTACTCTTATTTCTGCAGATGGCTGCCCGCAACAGGAGGGAGGAGGAGAAAACACTAACTCCATCAGCTCTAATGGAGAAGATTCAGATGAGGCCCAAATGAGACTTCAGCTGAAAAGAAAGCTGCAGAGAAATAGGACATCCTTTACCCAGGAGCAAATCGAAGCCCTTGAGAAAGGTGAGTGACATTTCCATATGACTAAAGCAGCAGAGAAAAGCAAAATGTACCCTGGCTGTATTAAGAGCAAAACAGAAGCATGGGGTTCACATGCTTTCTCTCTCTCTCTCTCTCTCTCTTTTTATATATATGTATATGTGTGTAAAAGTCCATGGCTCCCTGCATTCTGTTGTATTTCTCATGCTTCAGACATTTAGTGATGGCTGTAGTATGTACTGAAAAGCTGTAAAAAGGTTTTTCAAAGGGATCATATTTACAACACATTATATTGAAACATCGGAGTTACCCCCTGACTCCTCTCTCTTTCCTCTCTGCAAACTCTTTCCTACCTGGGCATAGGGGTAAACACGAGCTCGGGGGCTCGGGCTCTGCTGGCAGCTCCCACGTCCCGCTCGGGGCCGTGCTGCCGCATGCCGGGAAGCAAGGGCAGCACGGCCTCAGCAATCGTGCGCTGGCAGCGCTCGTTCGCTGCTCGCTCTTGTGCTAATTCCCTGTCCTGGGGCTGCTGCTGACAGTGGCTGGTAGCAGATGCCCTTTTCCCTGATCTGGCCTAGATGCACCTTCTTTTTGAGCCAGGACAGGTCTTTGGTCCATCTTCTGCTCTTAATCAGTTATGTGCCATTTCACTCTGTGGTGGCAGGGTCAGAGCTGCGTCGGGGATCCTCTAAGCAGAGGCAGAAGCCCGACTATTCTGTCTCAACCTTTCCTGAAAGATGCTAGCATTGACCCAATCCTGCAAATTCTCTTAGCAATATTCCCTAGTAGGCAAGGTGCCATAGTTTTTAGCACACGTGGAGAAAGTTCAACTTTTTTTTTTGTTGTTTACAGCAGCGTTTCTTACCAGAACTTAGAGCATAGGTAGTGTAAGAATGATCATAACTTTCCAGTCAGCCACTTTAATTCTTTATAAATAATACAATAATATTTTCCTTGGCAGAATTTGAGAGAACCCACTATCCCGATGTGTTTGCAAGAGAGAGACTAGCTGCTAAAATAGACCTGCCTGAAGCAAGAATACAGGTACCGAAGCTGCTGTGTAATTATTACTACTACTATTTTTACTATTACTATTATAATGTTTTTATTACTGGCTTTTCAAAGTACAGGGAAGCCACTATTTACGGTTGAACATGTGTCTGTCTCTCCCTTCCAGAAAATAACAGCAGATGTGGTCCACATTAGCACGCTGCTTTGCTACGTTGCGAGATAGCTGTGTCCCAGCATTGCCTTGTGTTATGTGACAGGGACTGCATGCCTCCAGTCTTTGTTAGCTCATTCATGTCTTCAAAATCCTGTATTTTCAGGTGTGGTTTTCTAACAGACGGGCCAAGTGGCGAAGGGAAGAGAAGCTGAGGAATCAGCGAAGACAAGCCAGCAACACCCCCAGTCACATTCCCATCAGCAGTAGTTTCAGCACGAGCGTTTACCAACCTATTCCGCAACCAACCACCCCCGGTAATACAGCAAATCCGCTCCTATTAATTCATCCTCTTGGGAAAATTAGACTCTGAGACTCTATTGTCATTTTTAATTGTGGTTAAACTAATGCGCTCATCTATCTGTCTATTCTATTATAGTTTCCTCTTTCACATCAGGTTCCATGTTGGGCAGAACAGACACAGCGCTCACAAACACGTACAGTGCTCTGCCGCCCATGCCTAGCTTCACGATGGCTAACAACCTGCCTATGCAAGTAAGTGACACGCTGCCCGTGCAAAAAGGATACAGGCTCTAAGGCCAGGGCGGCCTCTCCGGGTGCGTGAGGGCCCCAGGGCCTGCTCCTGCCCAGGAAGCAGCGGGGCTGCAAATGCAAAGCGCCCTGCTGGGAGCCGGCCGGAAAGGCTCCCCTGCTTGGGGAAGAGCTGCCCTCTTTTGGTCAGGGAAGAATCACAGCGGAAAGGGTGGCACTAGGTACTGGTGCTCTGACAAGTCCTCTTCCAGCATTTTTAAAAGGACAAGGTCCTCAAAATCAAGAGGCAACAAATTCAGCATGAAAATACCTTTTTCAGAAAATTACAGTTAACCTGTGGAACTCACTGTTGCAGTATTGTTGAAATTAAGGACTTAATAAAATGCTGGAAGGATTAGATCTTTTCTGCTTAGGTAATGTGGCGGAGGCACATTAGGAACACCTGAGAAAGGAAAGGATGTGATTAGCATCAGTGGTTATGCTAGCTAAGCCAGAATTGCAAGAGCTGTCAATCCTCATGCCTGAAAGCATTAGCTGATCACCAGCTGGGTTAGGAAGAAATCTATTCCTTTGGGGTCTGTTTCTATAGACCTTTCAGATGCAAAATTCCTCCTTTTTTAATGGTGGGGTTGGCCTAGGAAGGTGCTGGCCAATTACGGGAGTTTTACAGCTTTGTCTGAGGCACACAGCATTGACCACTGCTGGAGACGGGCGAGCAGATTAGAGCGAGTGTGACTCCTTCACTGCAGCAATTACTATGTTACTAATTGCTGAACCAAAATTAACCAAATAAAGTTAGAGTCTCTCAAGTTCACGGAAAGAGATCACGTTGGCAAAGTTGTTATTTCATGATATGTGAGGCCAGCGGTGCAGTTCGCCAAAGGCTGAGAGCAGATGACAAAAGATCAAAGGCTGGTGGCAGAGGAGCTCCCGGGAAGCAGAGGCCCCTGATTCCTCACTCCTCCTCAGTGCGGGTGTTTATTGCGTTGGCAGAGCAATGTCAGGCACCTGGGCAGAGACCTGGCGTGTGTGAGCCGCTCTGGAAATTCCTGCCGACGTCGTCGAGGCCGTATGACGGCCACGTAATTTAGAAGTGTGAGGTTTGGCAATTGCACTGTCAGCGTTTCTCAGCGGAAATGCAGCGTGTTACAGGTTCTCCCGGAGACCGCGTGTGCACGTCGCCCTGGTTTGTGTAGTTAGTGAGGGAGGCTGTCGGCGCTTTTGCAGACAGTGCCTGTCAGCGACGCGGAGGCGATGTGCACCGATACGTCGGGGTTCGTGCTCTCGGAGTGGGACTGCTCGGCCTGCTCCTGCTCCCCGCTCACCTGCTGCGTCGTGTGGGGTCGCAGGCTGCGCTGCGGCGGCCCTGGGGCCCCGGCTCCTCCTGGGAGCCCGGGGAAGCAGCTCCTCCGCGTGGCCTTGCTGCCGAGGCGATTCCCCCCGACAGCCTGCCCTCCTGCCCCCAGCCCGCCTTCCCCGCCGACACAGGGAGTTTTACAGGTTGGAGCTGAGGTAAACGGAGATATCTGGCCTCATGCAGTACAGGAGACTTGGCATAAGTTTGGGCTGACTGCAATCTTATTATATAGATCAATGCACATGTTATATTATTATATAGATGAATGCACATGGTGTGTGCGTGCACGTGCAACGTGCACATGCACGAGCACCTGTACGGCTAATGCCGCGCAGGCAGGCTCCGTGCCGTGTGCCTCAGGAATTATTTTCTGAGTTACGCCATGAAATGGGAGATGAGGCTCTAGCCCTACTCTGTCTAGCTGTGGCTGCAGAGAGCATGAGACCTCTTTTCCTCTACATAAGTACAAACTTGGCTAGCATGCACACTTAGGCTCCTAAAGTTCGATAACCAGCACCTTATTTAGGCATCCAAACGTAGCGATCCGCTCTCCGAGCGTATCTGAGGATGTGCCAGTGACCATCAACACCAATTCTCCAAAAAGTTTATTTGACTCCCTAAATATGGATTGAGATTTAGGCACCCAAGTTTGAAAATGAAGCTCATCTGTGCTTGTGCTGAGGAAATACTCCCCCATACTGCTCCCGAGGGCCGGTAGGCCCAGCCAGAAGTGCTTAACATCATGTTTACCTGCGCAGAAACGTAACGCTACTTTGTGCTTTGCTCTACCAGCCCCCCGTACCCAGCCAGACCTCCTCCTACTCTTGCATGCTGCCCACCAGCCCCTCCGTGAACGGCCGGAGCTATGATACCTACACACCTCCGCACATGCAGACACACATGAACAGCCAGCCGATGGGCACCTCTGGCACCACTTCCACAGGTGAGTGGCCCGTCGCGCCTCCCCTTCTTCTGCTAGTGCGCTTTGGTTGCTCGCCCAGGCTGGTTTTTCCCTTGTTGGGAGCGGTGTCTCTCCCAGAAGGCCCAATCCTGTTACTGTTGGGTCTAGAGCTGTAGATCAGGGCTGAGGAACGAAAATCTGTAACCTTGCAGGTGAGTGCAGAAAGTCTGTTTTTTTAAGCTGCCACTGAAGGGATAGTCGGAAGACTTCTGCTTAATGGAGATAATAGTCTCATACTGGTACAGTGAAAAGCTTCTCAGTGAGGCCCCAATCCTGCAAAATCTTAAGTGTATAATTAAATTTTGCCACTGCTAAGGCTTAGTGGTTATTTGAATGTTAAATTTCAGCGGAGTTACTCACACCCATGAAGTTAAGCGTATGTGAAAGTGCAGGACTGAACATGTGTTTACAGTGTCTACCTCAAGAGGCTATTTTTTGTCAAAGATCTGAAGTTATCTAAAAGGCAGATGACCTGTAGAAATTTTAATCTATGCTTAATAAGGCAAAATAGGGTGAAAAAGGGCAAGTGTGAATGTAAACAGGGCTGAACACATTTAAGAAAAAATAGAAATGTCTGGTATATTTTGGGCTGCATTCCCAACTGATATAAATGAGCTGAAGCTCTGCCATTTATCTCAACGCACGACAGTTTATTTATAACAACAAATCAGTTAGATGTGCATAGATTTTTAAAATACGCTCCCCTCCCCCCGAATTCTGCAAGCTAGTAGATGACGAGATTGAATACTTACCAGAATACAAGCACAAATCTGTGAAAGTGCAAAGCACAAATTGTGCTATGTATAGAAAAACTAAAATATCCATTTTCCCACTCAATTTTCAGGTCTCATTTCCCCTGGAGTGTCAGTTCCAGTTCAAGTTCCTGGCAGTGAACCTGATATGTCTCAATACTGGCCAAGATTACAGTAAAACATGTGTTAATTCCGTAAATGACTATATGGACAACAGTTGGATGTTCAGCAGTATTTTATAAAGGAAGAATGGCTCTCAGAGTACTTCTGTACTGCAACTGTGCCCTATGCTGTAACACATGGAAAAAGACTTTAACATGGACCTTTGTACACTGAAGGCGTTATATCAGTTGGAACAAATCTTCATTTTGGTATCCAAACTTTTATTCATTTTGGTGTATTATTTGTAAATGGGCATTTGTATGTTATAATGAAAAAAAAGAACAATGTAGACTGGATGGATGTTTGATCTGTGTTGGTCATGAAGTTGTTTAAAAAAAAAAAGAAAGAAAAAAAAAGAAGCCATGATCAACAAGCTTTGCCACGAATTTAAGAGTTTTATCAAGATATATCGAATACTTCTACCAATCTGTTCATAGATTATGGATTGATGTTCCAAGTTTGTATCATTCCATTGCATATAATCTAAACCTGGAACAATACGCACTAGATTTATGTAAGAAAAATATCTGTTGGTATTTCCAAAGGTTGTTAACGGATGAAGCTATGTGCAAACAAGGGTTAAGAGAGAACTTCGACGAAGAAAAGAGTTTGATAGATAAAAGGTAGATTGTGTCTTCGATATTATCCAATTTGTTTTATGTCGAAATGTAAGTATTTGTCTTCCCTAGAAATCTCCCAGAATGATTTCTATAATAAAGTTAATTTCATTTATATTTGACAAGAATATTCTATAGATGTTTTATACACATTTTCATGCATCATACGTTTCTTTTTTGGTCGGCAAAAGTTAATTGTTCTTAGATATAGTTGTACTACTGTTCACAGTCCAATCATTTCTGTGCATCTAGAATTCATTCCTAATCAATTAAAAGTGCTTGCAAGAGTTTTAAAAACTTAAGTGTTTTGAAGTTGTTCACAACTACATATCAAAATTAACCATTGTTGATTGTAAAAACCATGCCAAAGCCTTTGTATTTCCTTTATTATACTATTTTCTTTTTAACCTTATAGTGTGGTGTTGCAACTTTTGTTACTGTATTAGGTTAATCTTACCAAGCTTTATTTTGAAATTATTTTCAGTTTTCAATAAGGAGGGTTCTCAAAGAACATTTTTACAGACTCTTA